CATTAAGTCCTGCAGTTCCATGTGGGACATCCCAAGCAATCTGAGATGAGTTGTGAGCTCCATGAGGCTCTGCCCCTGTGGCACTCGAGGTGGTAGCTCCCATGGCTTCTCTCTTAGGCCGGCTTTGCTCCCTCCTTGCAGTTTCCCTTAGACAATCCATGTTCCTGTCTTTTCCAAACTTCTGGGGTTTCCACTGAATAGGCTTCTCACTCATATCTTCACACACTGCCTTCGCGGGGGCATGCTGCCTGGCCTCCCAGGTCTTCTTCTGAAATCGAGCTGGAAGCCTTCTTAACCTCAGAACTCCTGCATTCTGAATGCGCCTAAAACCAATGCCACGTGGATGATGCCAAGGTCTGCTGCCAGCTGGAGCACTAGCCAGGTTTTCCTCTCTCTGGTCTGTAGGGGTCGAGTGCCTGGATGGCTGAGCACTCTGACCCTGATTTGGAGAAATAATTTCTCCATGCCGCCACCATTCTGGAACCTGGTGCAGTGGCCGCTGCAGCCATTCCGGAACGGGGCCCTGCGGCTTTCCCCTCAAGGCAAAGTCCCTGACCTTTGCAGTTCTGAGGCTGTAAAGGGTGGAGACCTGCCTCCTGTGATGCCCTCAGGCCATCCCTTCCAGTCTCAGGTTCCTTCCTGGCAATGGAGATCCTCTCAGTTCCATCTTTGCAGTCCACAGCTTTATTGGAGCTTTTTCTGTCCAAGCTCACAACATTTTAAATCCTTCTGCTGGGCTCCTTGCTCTTCATTCTCAACATAAATCTGACTAAAAGCCCCCAGTAACAACCAGGCCACTGCCCCAATATTTGGCTGCTTTGAAATATCTTTTGTCAGATTGATCAGTCCACCATGCTTAAACTCAGTCTCATGCAAAGTCTCTGGACACGAGCAAAATGCAGATAGCTTTTCTGCCAAGTCAAAACACAAATGATCTGGAGTCCAACAGCCAATGCAGTCCTTTTTCCCAGCAGAAACCTCCCCAGCCTGGTCTTTACAGGCCGGCTTTCCATCAGCCTTCTGGTCTGAGCTCTGACCAGAATCTCCCACACAGAATAACCGAAGCTGTTCAGCGCTTCACTTGTGGGAGACATCTCTGAACCTTTCCTAGCTCTTCCCATAAGCCATTCCCAAAAGCTTGTAGTCCACATGGTCAGGTTGAGCCACAGCAATGACCCCACTCCTGAGGTACCAAATTCTATCTTAGTTACTGTTCTCTCATTGCTGGGACAAATACCCGACACTCAAAATGAAGGAAGGAAAGGTTTATTTAGCTCACAGTTACTGGGGGTTTCAGTCCATATTCAGCTGGCTCCAAGGCAGAGCGGCACAAGGCAGAGGGCAACCTTTCATGGTGGAGGCAAAGAACCTGGAAAGCAAATGTTACAAGATGATGAACAACTATGCCTGCAGGTACACATTTAATGGACTGATTTGCTTTAGAAATACTGATGTCTGGAAGAGATTTTAAGTGTCAACTCTCAGCTTTTTCTAAAAACAAAAAGAAATATATGTCTTTAGTTGATGCATAAGTAGCAAAACTCCTAAGATCCACAGTGTGCTAGGGGTTCATGGAGCCCCTTGCCAGTTTAGAAAGTGGGGTAGAGACTCTGTATCTGTGGTGTAGTTTCTTATGGTCATGCCGTGTAGACTTGGGCATCAAGACATTCAGGCTAATAGGATGAAATAGTAATTAAAAGAACTGAGTAGGGCTGGCAAGATAGCTCAGTGGGTTAAGCACCTGCTTAGGCAAGCGCAGGGACGGGGGCTCAATACCTGGCATCACATGCCACACCAGTCCCACCCCCAGGCACACTGAGCTGGCCACCAAGACCTAGCATGGTGGCACAC